AGAAACAAATCAGTGGTGGTCTAGGGCGAGGTATTGAGTTGTGATTGGGAAGGAGCATAAGGAATTTTGGAGGGTAATGGAAATATTCTACATCATTATTATGGTAGTTATGTAGGTGTATACACTTGTCTACTTGTATCAAAATGCATACTTAAACTGTACAGTTTATTTCATGTCAAACATTAATATAGCATATTTTTTAAAACAAATGAAAGTAACAATATGACTAGAATTGTAATCCAGGCCATTTAGTTATCCTTAGGAAGACATCAATTAAGAATAAAATATCAACTGGGCATGGTGGTACATGCCTGTATTCCCAGCTACTCAGGAGGCAGATCACAAGGTTGAGACCGGCCAAGGAAAAATTGTTGGAGCTTTCTCTTAAAAAAAAAAAGAAATGAAAAGGCTTTAGGTAGAGGTTGTGACTCAAGTGGTAGAGCACTTGCCTAGCAGGCCCTTGGTTCAATCACAAGTCCTGCAAAAAAAATGCAAGGAATACAAGGAATAATTAGTTTTAAAATTGCCTACTGTTGTCTACTTTTCATTTCATTCATATTTTAATATGAAGTACCAGAACACCACAAAACACAAATTCATGAGAAATAATTGGTCTTACAAGTCATAGTCATGTTCATTACTAGATAAGAGCAAATAACTAGATCTCGAACCTACTTTTATGAGGATAAGGCAAATAACAGTTCAACAAAACTATCTCCAGAATTTATTCAGAGAATTACTTTTAAGCTACTTAGTAAGATGGGTACAAATTCAACCCAATCTCCTGGTATCTTCAGGTTAAAATAATGATTATAATTCTCATTCTAAGTTGGAAAATGTTGGCCTCAACAGAGATTTATACTATGGCATAAATTTTAATTCTTTGAAAATTCATAATCTATTTGATGATCTTTCAGTTGGCAAAAAATATTCTGTAGAAACAGATCACTTTCTCAAGAGAGTCATGATAAATTGTATTTCTCATCTACTGAATAAGTATAGTTAATTGCAAAAAGTGAAATATTTTTAGTAATTCAAGGAATTAATTTCATAATTATCTATTCATTTTCACAGTTTTCAGCTTGCTAAATTTATTCTAAAATTCTTCCCTGGGTTCTTAATTGAATGGTTTGCTTCTTAGATTCATATAGTAAGTACTGTTATAATCTACTTGCTATACAAATACTCACTGGGCTAGCTAAATCAGTTTTTATTATTTAATGAATACAGGCCAAAATGTTTTTTCCATTAGCAAGGGTGGCTTTAGCTGCAAATAACAAAGAATTCTTATTCAAACTGACATAAGCAAGAAGAAACCAAGAAATCCAGAGGTAGGACAGCTCCAAGTATTGTTTGACAGGATTCTAGCTGTGTTTTCTGTATTTTGTGCCTTTTTTTGTATGTTGATAACAAGATGGCTACTGGGTTGTAAGTATGTCCTTGAGTTTAAATCACAGTACCAAAAAAGATGGCTACTGCGCAACTAGGTACAACTGAATCCAAAGGCAGAAAAGGACTATCTTTTCTCTGTGAATAAAGAAGCCTTTCACAGAAGCCCCTTCTCATGTCTCATTGGCCAATACTGGATTATGTATCCATCCTCAAACCTTTCACTGAAAAGTGGTATGGGACTATAATGAATAACTTTGGCCAATCAAGATAATTGTAGACTACAATTATCCCTGAGTCAAAAGGGCAAAATCCTAAACAAAATCAGTGCTGTATTATAAGGATGAGGTAGAAAATGGATATTGGGTAGATGTCAAAAGTATTGCTGCAAATATGAACAGGTTTTTAAATTTTATTTCCTGAGTATGATACAATATCAGTCCTTTGGTACTAAAAAGAATTTATTTTATTTGAAATTTTTTCTCCTAGAGTTATATATCCTCTAGATTTAGCATACTTTCATAACATTGGTCAAAATTTTTATTTTCTAGGCTTATTAAAATCTTAATAAAGTATACCATTAATGATGGAGTGATTAAATTAGAATAACTTACATTAACTTTGATTAATTTTTGGATTAATAGAAAACAAAATATTTTTATGACTACTAATGTCCACTAAGTACAAGAATATAGTGGTGAACAAAATCAGCCACAGTACTGTTGTTATGGAGCTTTTAGTCTAGAGGTGGACAAAGACATTTGTAAAATGATCACAGTATTAAATGTGAAGTAGGTTGTGCTGGGAATTCTTCTGAGAAGAGATAAATAGGATTTATCTATGAACATCCAGAGGATGGTGAAGGTGGGAAACCATACCAAAGACAGAACACAGCATATGAAAAGGCTCTGTGCAGAATAAGCAGGTGGATTTCAGAAGTTAAAAGGTCAGTATATGTGTTAGTCAGATGTTGCATCACTGTGACAAAACACCTGACATAATTAAGGGGAAAAGATTTATTTTAGCTTACAGTTTCAGAGGTGTCAGTCTTAGTCCTTGGTGCTACTCTTTCTGAGCCCATGGTGAGGCAGAACATCACATGGGGAGCATGAGGTACAGGCAACTCACCTCATGACAGACAGGAAACAGAACAAAAGGGAATACAGGAAGGAGGTAGGGCAAGATATAGTCCACAAGGGCATACTCCCAGGGACCTACTTTTTCCAACTGGCACCACCTACTGCTTTTCACTACCCCTTATAATGCCATGGTATTGTGAATTGATAGAGATTAACCCACTTATTATGTCAGAGTCCTCATAATCTAATCAATTCCCAGAAACCCAGCTAGCAGCCAAGTTCCCAATCCATGAGCCTGTGGGGGACATTTCATTTTCAAGCCATAACAGTATATGAGGAGAGAGTGACTTTATAAGAAACATTACAGATTTTTTGAGAGCAATGAGAAATCATGTAAGGGATTTGAGTTAGAAGTGGAGTGGAGTGAAGGATAACCAGGTTTATGATTTTGAATAGATAACTTTTGTGCTTGATGAGAACAAATTGAGTGGGTCAGAGTAGATGCAGGAGTTTATTAGATAATTATTGAAGGGATCCTAGCAAATGGTAACAGCTTGGACAAGAGTATAGTAGTAAAAATGAAGAAAAGTAGATGAACCTGTAAGATCTTTAGACCAACAGACCCCCATGGAGTGAGGGATATTGAAGTATTAGGGTGTTAATGATAACTGTAAATTTTCTGGTTTGCAATTCTGGGTGGATGGAGGCTTCTAAGATTCAGAATGCTTGAGTAGTAGGCTTGAATGGGAAAAACAGGAAGTCAAGTTTGGATATGTTGACCTTGAGGGATCTTTGATCTATTTAAGTACAAATATTGAATAGGTATTAATACAGCCTGGTGCTTAGAAGGGAGCCTTAGGATGAATATATTAATTTGAAAGTAAGATGAAATGTAAGGCTCTGTTTATATAGCCTTAAGAGAGCAGATGCAGTGAGGAATAAAGGGGTCTTAGACTTATTTTGAAAAACTCTAGCAAATGAATGATGGTAGATGAGCCTATGAAGAAGACAGAAAAATTAGTGTATTGTTTTATCACACAATTCAATCAAAAAAGAGTGTTTAAAGAAAGAGGAAGTGATCAAATGATGCTCAAAGATCAAAGTGAGAACTAAGAGAATGTCTGTGGACTTATCAGCCTGGTGGTTATTGGTAATTTTTTGTGAGAGTTATTTCCATACAATGATGGCAAAAACAAAAGCTAGACTCAAATGGCCTATGAATGAGTGGTAAGGAAGGAAATGCAGAGAGCATGATCGACTCTTTCACAACACTTTGTTTTTTGTTTGTTCGTTTTTGCTGTACTGGTACTCAGGGCTTTGCACTTGTAAGGCAAGTGCTCTACTACTTGAGCCACGTCTCCAGCCCTCTTTCACATTTAGCTATGGAAGAAGAGTAGTTAATAGAAGGAAATGTGAGGAAAAGGATTAATTTGTAGACTTGATTATGTTTGAGTGTCACGTAGAAATATCTTGTTAAGGAATAGTTGAAAACACTGCTTTTTTTAAAGGCTGAGATCAAACATAATTGAAAATATAGTAGAATATTAGCATTACAGGGGAGCAAAGACTCCTGAAATATAACTAGAGAGAAGAAGAGAGGATGAATGTATTTGTGGTTGGGCTTGTAGCTTTAATAACAAGAAGATGAAACTTCAGTTTCATCTCTATGTAGGAGGCCATGTCCCTTGCTGAAAGTGAAAAGGGAAGTAGGGAAGAGGAGGCTGGGTGGAGAGAGCAGATGAGAGATGGTAGGAAATACTCATTGTGGAAAGTCAGAGAAAAAATTACCAAAGACATGAAACAGAAGTGACTGGGCTATGTTAAAAAGACCATGGAGGATGGCAATGAATGTAGTTAATGCTGATGTGTTCAGTTGTGTGACTTTCTCCAGCAGCACCAGGCTTCTTGGTGTATGTACAGAACAGAAAGTGAGGTCCACCTAGGGTTAGGGTTTTGTGGCAAAACTTATCCATGAATGAAGAAGATTAACTATAGGGAGAGAAAAAATGATGCATTTGAATAAGATCTGGGAAAGAATTAAAAAGCTAAACAAAGCTAAATAAAATTTTATATTAAACTTTAATATAAAATGTAATATTTCCCACTTAAGATAAATAGCAACACAGAAAGTAACAAAAATGATTTAAATATTCCTTGGAGTCTGAAGTTTTAACATTTATTAAATAGTAGATAACCAGTTTGATATTTGTTGCATGCCTTCCTTTCTCTACTTTTCCTCCTTCCCTTCCTCCCTCCATTCTTCCTAACCCCTTTTCCTCTCTCCATCTCTGTCTCTCTCTGTCTCTCTCTCTTTCTCTCTCTCTCTCTCTGTCTGTCTCTCTCATTAATACTTGTATTGGAATCTAACAATTTTAACTCTTTTTCATTTAACATATTAGAAACATAATATCACCAACTTTTATTTTACAACATAATTTTAATAAGTGTTTAGCATTAAAAGCACTTTAAATGTGTATTTAATTTAATAAAAGCTTACTATAATAAATTATTTACAGTTTTTTTCTTATATAGATTTTAGATACCTGCACAATGAGAATGAATCTAGATTTACCAGCCAGATACCTTTATGACTTGTATGGCAGAAAAATTGAAGATATTTCAAAAGGTAAGTGGCAAGAGCTTTGTAAATCATATGCTAATATTTTGAAAAGAATTTATATAATTTTCTTCTAAACATTTAAAAGAAAAAAGATATAATAAATCAGAGTTTAATTATAACATCGATAAAGATGGTATTATACAAAGGGAGATCATGGAGGGCATTAAGGCTTTTGGAATCTTGTTTGGGCACAAGTTTGAATTTTTTAAAAGTTGGGTATTTTCCTTAAATGCAACTGAGGCCAATAGGAAAAGGGGAACAGGTACTAGAGAAAAGGTTAGATCAAAAAGAATTAACCTAGAAGGTAACACCCACGCACAGGAAATCAATGTGAGTCAATACCCTGTATAGCTATCCTTATCTCAACCAGCAAAAACCCTTGTCCCTTCCTGTTATTGCTTATACTCTCTCTACAACAAAATTAGAAATAAGGGCAAAATAGTTTCTGCTGGGTATTGAGGGGGTGGGGGGAGAGGGAGGGGTGAGTGGGTGGTAAGGGAGGGGGGGGGGGGGGGGAGAAATGAACCAAGCCTTGTATGCACATATGAATAATAAAAGAAAAAAAAGTTGGGTATTTTAACTCTAGTAAATCATAACTAAGTAAGAATGAGTAATTGATATATTTTCGTAATTTAACAGCCAGTTTCTATGGGATACAATTTTCTAAAAAGAAATTGTTGCAGAGCACTTGCCTTACATATGCAAAACCTAGGTTCCATCCCTGAGAAAGAAGAGAGAGAGAGAGAGAGAGAGAGAGAGAGAGAGAGAGAGACAGAGAGAGGAGAGAGAGAGAAAGATTGTGCTAATATAATAATATAATATATGGCCGGATTGATAAATGATTTGGTCAACTTCTAGAGGCTATTCAAAATTTATATAATGTACTTTAAAACATTTCCACAGTGTATCTTTGCCAAGAGATGAGTTTCCATGTGATAATTTCCAAAGATATTTACTAGTTCCTGAAAGCAAAAATACCATGGAATCCATTTGTGAGTTTAAATAGTACAGTCCTATCATCTAATCTTTAAATCCATGCCTGAGGAGGCCCTAGATATTAAATGACATGTCTTTACAAGGCTAGGTTCAGATAACTATAGTGATTTAGGGACATGGCCATAGTGTATACATCCATTTGTTTCCAGTTTCTCACTTGTACTATAAAAAGCAGACTATTTCCTTAATTTATCATCCTTAATGCTTATTTAGTGGTAACTGTAACACTTTGATACTTAATTGTGTCTTTCACATATTTTTTCTAAGGGTGTTATACATGTGTGTATATTTAGAAACTAAATCTAATTTTCTTGGTCATTTTTAGTGTTTGCATTAGATATGATAATTATTTTTTATTTTATTAAGAATGTTTATCTGACGATTTCAAAGCTCCTGAAAACACCTCTGTATTATCTAGAATTAGACAAAGTTATTTACCTATAAAACATGTACAGCACAAGGAATCCTTCTTACTAAAACTGATCTCTCCCTTTCTTAATTTTTTCTTTAATCTTCTTGGTAGCGCTGGGGTTTGAACTCATAGCCTCACACTTGCTAGGCAAGTGCTCTACCACTGCAGCCAAACCCCCAGCCTGATTTCTCCCTTTTACATTATTGTATCCTTTCCCATCACACAGGCTAATATTTTCCTTATGGTCAACAACATTTTATAGTCACTCATCACTCATATACCTGCATTAATAAAAGTAAGTATCATATTTTCTTAAGACTCTACCTATCCTTAAGTTTCCAGATTACCTGGGTTTTGAAATGTTGGATTTGAGTAAACTGCTAGAATTTAGCTATAAGGAAACTAGGTTAAGATGAAAGATTTATATTTAGAAAGCTGGGTTTTTTCTCCTTCCAAATATGGTATAACAGAAATAGTTATCCCCAGCACTCAGGAAGCTAAGACAGGAGGATCATGAGTTTGAGGCCAGCCTGGGCAACATAGGGAGACCCTGTCTCAAAAAAAAAAAAAAATTTACATATCAAAATAGAAAAGCAGTGTTCTAAGGCGTGATACTTCATGGGTGCCAGAGGCATCAGATTCATGCCTAATGCTTCACATATTCCAGAAGTGTGCTATTATCACATTTTAATGCATGCCTTACCCTGTGTTTTTGCATACTTATAAAAGCTTATGCCAGCTGAAATTAACTTATGCAGCTACTAACATGTGGAAGCATTGCAAGTACACTGGACTTAAAATACTTAAAGAAGCTAATCCTACTGGAGGAACTTCCGGTCTATAGCACTCTAGTCACTTAGAATTGGTTTTAAAATTCTTTTACTTTGTTGTTATGATGTTGTACATCAAATGATTGAGTCCCTAAACTTTTATATTAGATGGTCTTCAGAACCTCTACATAGGAATGGTCAGGTGTTAAGTGAAAATTAACTTTTAGCTTAAATAAATAAATGCTGATATTCTTTTGACTTTTTTGCTTGCTTTATGTCAGATCAGAAAGTCAGTTAATAATGTCTCATGTTAAGATCATAGCAATTTCTTCTTATTTATAAGCACAGATTTGAAGTATGATTGTATCAAGGACCAAACACACTACAGATAAACAAAATGAAATTTTTCTCCTATCTCTTTTTTGAATAAAATTTTTATTAGGAAATATTCATTATACAGGGAGGATTTGAAGTGACAATTTTGATTAGACTTGTATTGTACATTATTTACATTGCCCCCCCTCGTTCTCCTATTTTTTGCTTCTATTTTGGTATTAGATATGTTTTCAAATTTTCCTCCCATGCTATGAGAAATGAACATATTTCTCATGATATGAAACTGCTTTTAGTCATGTTTAGAAAACCCTTTTAAAAACTATAAGATATGAAGTTGCTTATGTGTTAGATTTTTAAAGCAATATTTTAATAAAGAAATTTATATGGTTACTTGTGGGAAAGTTCTTTAGTTATAGCTTCTGTGTAGATCTATCCTTTCAAGAGTACAAGGGAACTACCTACTGCATACAGACACCATATTTCTATAGAAAGTCAGCATGCTAAGCCTAACGCATGTGAAAAATGTACTCATGTCCATCACAATCACAGAACTGTGGGGAAAATCAGGGTGGAAGACTTTTTAAAGTCTCTGTATCTTCAAGACCAGCACACTAATCAAAATAATAATTATTAATTTAGGAGATAATATAAACATCCTGGCAGGTTCAGAGTGCTTCAAAAGATATTAATGCTGCACAAAAACAATGGAGTGTGAGCAAGACAATGAAGTTGGAAATAAATGGAGGTTTGAGCCAGGGGCACAGGAAAAACAATACTTCCTGTATCATTCTTCTATTTACTAATAGTGTTTGAGCTATTTGATATTTTAGAGGCATTTAAAAGAAGCATAGCTAATGTCCATAGTGTTCCAGTTTGCTGGAGTTGTTTAATAATACTGCTTTTCTTTTCTAATGTTCCCTAACTGTGTGATCTCTCTTCATGACTTTCGCTAATTATTACATCGTAGTGAACCAGAAGAGTTACTCTCCTTCTCAAGGAGAGCTCATCAGTCTTTTAGCCCTTTATGAGGCTGTCATAACAATAATCAGACCTTGCTCTTTTGTGATCCTTCTAGATCATTGGAGTAATGTAAAATTTACCCCAATG